AGAGAGAGAGAGAGAGAGAGACAGACAGACAGACAGAGAGAGAGACAGACAGAGAGAGAGAGACAGACAGACAGACACACACAGATCTGGGCTTGCCCCTTGGGCCTCAAGAGGTCAAGGGGCCCGCCCTTCAGTACTGGGAATCCGGGCCTATTAGGGGCTGACCTATTAGGGGCTGACTTGCAAGGTGTAGGGGAGTACTTTCTGCTAGCTTCTAGGTTTTGGGGACTGGAGGCAGACTTTCCAGCCTTGAATGGCGACGACGATGATATGAACACAATGTTTGTTTGGACTCACTCTCCTCCTGACCAACAATCATCAAGTCAGTTTAACTCATGGTCTGGAAACTTTCAATTCTCAAGCATCATATGTTCTATTGGGGCAGAACTATCTGGCAATTCCTTCTGCCCCACTGATCCTAGGTGCTCCTCTCAGCCCTTAGTTCTTTTTCTTTCTTTTATCTGGAATCCATGTGGAAGCAAACAGGGAGTACATTAAGAGGCCAATACATGACTGACATCCTAGCTTCTTCCATCTTTTGTGTTTGCTGTCTCCATGTTCTTGAAAGTTAATGTAACAAAGATGAGACTTTCTCCTCTTTTATCACAATTCCTGAGAGGGCATCCTCATGTTGGCAATTTTAGATTGCCACAAAATTGTCTGATTTTTCTAGTTACCATTCCTGACACATTTACCTGGTCAACAGCTTCTTATACAAAGTTTCTGTTTATGATGTGTCTGAAAGTGGCCATCTCATATCAGTTTCCATAGTAAAAGCGTTTACAAATTTCTGCAGGTTGTACTGCACTTTGTATGTCTGAACCTCTCTCTAGCTTTTAATCTTGATGTAGTTTTTACTCTCCACTAATATATTTCTGGAATCTAGTCTATTTCTTTGGGCCTGGTTAAGGCAGGCCAACCTCACCTTGTGCACAATACACTGTCTTTGGTTATCTCTGTGCTACTTGCAAAGCTAGTTTTCTCACCTGTTTTATTCTGCATCTCAGCTATCTGATACCACTATTAGTCCTGCCTTTCCTGATTCTCTGATTCTGCAGTTGTTGTTTTGGCATAGAGAGAAAGTTTCAGGTCTCTGCTCTTTTAGGCTATTTTGTACCCTTCAAATCTTTAACCCATCCTACACACGACTCAATAATTTGTGTAGTATTTTTAGAGGGGGTTTATTTTATTAACATAATTTTCTATATTTGACTTGAACAATTTTATGTACTGTCTTGGGTGACTTGAGATTCTTTCATCTTCTACAACTTCCAAGTCACCCCTCTTGAAATTTTTCTCCAGATATTTTCTTTTACAAAGTTGAGCATTATACATATACCACCCACTCAATTTTATGCAACTCTGATTTATCTATATAATAAGTGTGGAAATATTTTATTTATTGCTATAAAGGTGTAATTTTTCTTTGGTAGTTTACACATATCTGGTTATTTATAATAACTTTAATCCATAAACTCCATAATCTAAATGGTCTTTAGAACACTGCCACCTACATGTTAGGCATCTGCTGTTAATAGCTAATTTTTTTCAATTTCTTCTCCTCTATCTTTTAAAATAAGTTTCTTTTCCTTCATTTACTGAGATTCTACTAACGGGTGTTTTCATTATCTCTATTTTCTGTATCTCTTTCTTTTCTCTTTTGACTACTTCTTTATTATTTATCCTAGTAGTAACCCTTCTTTCCTTCTTCGTGGTCTGGTTCAACACTTGTCTTTTCCCTCTTTTCCCTTCTATTTCTCCCATGACTCACTTTTGTGGTCTAGTTCTTAGTACTTCTCAATCTTCAACCTATATCTTCTTCTTTCACCTAACTTTTCCAAAGCATACGCTACCACCCCTGCATTTTTCTTTCTCATTTGACTTCCTTACTCCTTCCACTTTGCTCCTTCCTCCTCCCCAGTTGCCTACCTTTTCCCCTTCCGTTCAGTTTGCCATTCTTTTGACTCCTCCTCCTAGCCGCCCATCCCTAATAGTTCTCCTTTGGTCCTTCTGTCTTTAGCCTGCCTCTCTTCAACTAGTCCCTAATCCCTTCTGACCCTGACTCTCCCTCTTCTTTGTCCCCATTCCAGTTCTCTTCTAGTAGTCACTTTATCTGTCCAGGCTTTTTCTCTAAATCCAACCTCCGGTCTCACTGGTCTCTTTGCCCTCCTCTCTGTGGCTCTCTCTTGCCTCCCTCTCTCCCCTCCTTCTTCTTCCTCCAGCCCCCCCTCCTCCCTCCCAGCTTCCCCGCCTGGCTCATTGCCTCCCTCGCCTCTTGTCTCATCTTGCCTGTGTTGTCTGGGAGGGGAGCCCTGCCTCCTCTCCCTCGCTCAGATCAATGCCCTGGCCACTCACTTTCTGATGTTGCACGA